ATGATACAAAACGGGGAGGAGTGGCTGATACACCCAAGGGCTGGGCTGCCATTCAGAGGGGCCTGGACAGGCTGGAGAGCTGGGCAGAGAGGAGAGTTATGGAGTTCAATAAAGGGTGGTATCGAGGCCTGCAACTAGACAGGAAAAATTCCATGAACATATGTTCATGAGTATATTTTGGGGGCTGACCATCTGAAGAGCAGCTCTGTGGAGAAGGACCTGGGAGTCCTGGTGCACAACAAGTTAAGCATGAGCCAGCAGTGTGCCCTTGTGGCCAAGAAGGCCAGTAGTATCCGGGGGTGCATGAGGAAGAGTGTTGCCAGCAGATGGAGGGAGGTGATCCTGCCCCTCTCCTCAGCCCTGGGGAGGCCTCCCCTGGAGGACTGTGTCCAGTTCTGGGCTCCCCAGTACGAGAGAGACATGGCACTCCTGGAGAGAGTCCAGCGGAGGGCTACAAAGATGATGAAGAGACTGGAGCATCTCTCCTCTGAAGAAAGGCTGAGAAAGCTGGGCCTGTTTAGCCTGGAGAAGAGACGACTGAGGGGATCTCACCAATGTGTATAAATATCTGAAGGGACGGTGTAAAGATGTTGGGTCTAGACTCTTTTCAGTGTGGCAGGACGAGAGACAAAGGGCACAAATTGAAACAGGGGAAATTCTATCTGAAACTAAGGAAAAACTTTTTTCCTGTGAGGGTGACTGAGCGCTGCAGCAGGTTGCCCAGAGGGGTTGTGGAGTTTCCATTGTTGGAGATAGTCAAAAGCCGTCTGCAAAAGGTCCTGGGCAATGTGCTCTAGGTGACATTGCTTGAGCAGGGGGGTTTGACTAGGTGATCTTTAAAGGTCCCTTCCAGCCTCAACTGTCCTGTGATTCTGATTCTGTGCATCTCTGATCCCTGAGCCTGCATGGTTTAGAGGATGCCCACTCTAAGTTATTTGCTTTACGCTTTTTGCAAAAGGGTCAGGGTCCTGCTACTTGCTCAGCAGTTGCTGAGCCCATACACCTTCATCTTAATAGTCAGGGCTCTATATTACACCAGTTGCACCTCAAATGCCATTACTTCCTTCCAGCAGGGGTGCAAACTCTCTTCATAGAATGTTCTGGTTGAACCACAGCTCTCATTTGGGAGCCGCCCTCAGCCCATGTTCCATTTCGTTTTCTGAATGTTACTAGGACTTTCAGCCCTTGCTTCCTTGAGAATGTAAATTCAAGTCAGATTGATTTTTTTGTTCAGGGAGGCAACCTGCAGATTGAAGTCCATCACTAATTTGTCTTGACAACTTCCTCCCCACATCTCCTGAAGGACGGGCACTGCTTTCCAAAAAAACAGCCTCCACAGTTAACTGGTCAAGTATAATACACAAATCATCTCAGTTTAAGGCAGCGCTGTGAACCATGAAATATGGTCCCATAAATTCAGGCAATACACAGAGATAGATGTAGTACTGTTGATCATCCAATAACTTCAGCATAGGTTTGTAATCTGGCTACCCCCGTCTGACTCTGTGGGCCAGTCACTTGAATTAATACTCAGTGAAGAGAGACATGTAAGGATTATGCTTCAGTCTGCAACTGAACAAGTTGCCACAGGCATCAAGTGGGCTGCAAGTTTCTTATGTGGTATTTAAATCCTTGAGCAGCAGAGGGAAGACCAGTCCTTTCTAATTTACAGCTAGATACTGAGTGAGTCAGTCTCTAACGACAAATGTTCACAGTCGCTCAGAGCAATCCTAAATCCATGTTCCACAAATAAGAACACTAGTTCCTAGAGGCTTAGCTTCTACAACCCAGTCTTGATCATTTTGGCCCCTCTCATGTCTTCTCACACCTGCTGGTACCAATGAGGGTACCGGCAAAATGCAAGCGCTTTTTACCATTTCCTTAAGGGTGTTGTTGCAAAGGCTTTAATTCTGCATATCT